CAATCTTTTCTCAGTGGTGCCCAGCAATAGAACAAGGAATAATAGGTTTAAATTAGAACATAGGAAGTTCCACTTCCAAGTGAGGAGAAACTTCTTTACTGTGAGGAGAAACTTCTTTACTGGCACAGGCTGCCCAGGGAGGTTGTGGAGTCTCCTTCTCTGGAGCCATTTTGTACCCGCCTGGACACGTTCCTGTGTGACCTACTGTAGGGGATCCTGCTCTGGCAGGGGGTTGGACTAGATGATCTCTAGAGGTCCCTTCCAACCCCAAACATTCTATGATTCTATGATTTTAATGTTATAATTAGATTACCCACCTTTGCTTTTAGAGTGAAAGAATAATAATTTACTTTTATATTATCTATTTCCTCCTGGGGCTTCACATGTGGTTCCCTCTTATAACACCAGCCTTCCAGAAATCCCGTCTTCTGAAACCAAGAAGCCTGTAGGAGATTTCAAATTGTTATTTGTATTTCTTAAGTAGAGCATTGAAGCATATTCTGCTAGCACACAGTATTTTTGGTTGAAAGGTAATAGTTAATATAATTCCAGCCCGTCTGTTGGATTGTTCCAAATAACAAAACGGAGATGAAGTGTCTCACAAAGCCAAACCTGTGAAGGTGCTAAATTGATAATTGTTTTTAGAATACCACCACTGTTGACAAATTGGTCAGAAGCAAGTATTATTAAGTCTGCAGACTTGCCTATAGTACTCGTAGACATGATAGGAATGTGTTCTTGTGGAGGGTAAGACCCATGTGTTTTCATTTAGATAGTTTTCAGTAAGCTTTTAAATCATGTTAAAGACTTTGCTAAGCTTGGTTTTGAATGATCAGTTGGGAAACATCCTATTTAAAACATTGCTCTATTACATTCAAATTTCTTGTAGAGTTTGAATCTGGCATTTATAAAGAAAGAAAAAATGGGGCGAGCAGTGGGGGCAAACAAGAGTTCACATTCAGAAAGGTAGAAACCGGTCCAAAAAAAATTCTTGGAGCTGTGTAAAAGAAGAGAGACAACGGGGTTCAGCATGTTCGTATTATGATTTCTTTGATTTCAGAAACATTTATAACTAATAAAAATATGCTTTTTTCAAGAAAATTTTATCATCCTATGGGTAAGCCTTGATACGAAAATTTTTACTTCGCCAAGAATGTATTTGAAATGTACAATATTAGGGATGAATCCAGAAGTGGAGATAACTCAGTCCTATGTACGTAAGGTCTCAGAATCTTTCTTAGTATCCTTTGAGGCAATTCTGCGAGGTGTTCAGGACCTGAAAACCTGAAACTTAAGTACTTTTGACCAAGGATTTAAGTGTTTCCTTATTGCTATGTCCACTTCTAATGACACACTCTTATCATTACCTATCAAATGGAATACATAGACACATCTTAAGAATATGCATTGACAGTATCTCCAGACATCAACAACAACAACTGCAAAAGCACAGTGTCCACATCGTACATGGGAAGAGAATGCCGAGGTCACTCAGACTAACATGTTCCAAGCAGGCAATTTCTGGTTTGTTGGTATATCATGCTTTCCCTTTGTCACAAAATCTGTGAGAGTGACTGACAGTTTGGGATTTTTTAGATTAGAATGGAGCATCTATCTTGGGTAGCTAAATTAAAAAACTAGTGTAGGTATAGTTTCTCCAAAGCATGACTGAGAGCATCTCCATTAGGCTTTCTGCTCTGACTCACCACTCTCTTCATTGGTGTACAAGGAGATGAGCTTCCTGATTCAGGCACTTAAGACAGTTTTCATGAATCTGCAGGTATTCCCTAAGCTCCTTTTCCCACTGGATAAATGTTTAATCTTTCAGAAAGTATGGTTTGTTCTTAGTGTTCATATACCTGCCTTTACAATCATTTCCATGAAGTTTTCATTCTCTCGGGTAGTCCCACCGAGCTCAGCGCACCAATGAAGGTTATTTCTATGAGTAACATCTATTGAATCTGATTTTATATTTGATTTCTATAACACAGACCCTGGTCTTTTTTTGTATTGTGCATGTATTTTCTTGCACCTCACTCTTAATGAGGTCTCTACATTATTTGTTTACTCCATTTTTCCTGCTGGTCTTGCAGAAAATAATGTGTAAGGAGAGGGAAATAATGTGGTTATGCATCTTTTCCTGCTCTGCTTCATTTGTTCTTACTTAATCCAGTATTTTATAAAATTTTTACACTGTTAACTTTGAATTAGAACTGTATTAAAATCCAGTGTTTATCTATATTTGCCATCTTGCTGCCATGTCACTACTCAGTGTCTTAACACTCCAGTATTTTGGTTGTTGGAGGTTTTAGTAGATAAAACGATTTTTTTATTTTCATGGGAGCCATACTCGTCCAGCTTGCATTCCAAAATGAAATGAATTCAGTGGTCTGAGCCCCGTCCCTGGTGAATGGCAGTTCACGTTGCAAAACCACCGAACAGGCACAAAGCTGGTGGTTTCTGCTCAGGGACACTCAGACCCAGCCAACGTGGAGGCACAGTTACCTCACACCCCAGGGAGTGATTTTTCTAGGTGAAGATTAAGGTCATTCATAAGGCAATAGGGAAAAACATCTCTTGTGAAACTGGTCTATGCATCAGCCAGGGAGAGCAGTTCCCAGTCCTGCTGCTTGCAGGCTGGTTGCTCTCCCTGGTTTTTATAATCTGGGATTTTATAATCCGGGATCTCTAGTTTAAGGCCACCTCAGTTACATGTGCTGTTTGCTTTTCAGAAGAGTATGTAAGCAGAGATTTGCATTTTGGGGTGATGTTTTTAGAAGGTTATTTGTTAATACTTTACTATTGGTAAATTCCTGGTTCTGCTACAATTAGTGAGTGTTTTGCTTTTAGTTAGAGAGCTGGGTTGCTGCTGTGAATATGTGAAGGTGCTAGCCATGTAGTAAATGTACTAATTTATGTTCATTAGTGTGCTATTGATTATATCGTCTGTTCATTAAGGTGTTTTCCCAAGAGTTACTCTGACAGGACTCTGAGAGACCTTAAGTGGCTGTCATCTTTGTGGCAAATGGATTAAACCAAAAAATGCGCAGCACTTCTCACTAGATCAGTGCTCAGTTTCAGCTAGGTCACACCAGGTTAACAAGCCAAAGTATCAGGTTTCTTTTTTTTTTTTTCTTTCAGTTAAAAAAGAAAAAGAAATTTGGTTTTGTTCATACCATTAGCTATTTAAGAGCAAAACTGTGTGAGAACATTTTTACTTTGGAGCACAGTAACACAGTTTAGATTATTTCATACCTGTATTAAATTAACCATAAGTACAAATTCAAATTAATTATTTTTATTTCATCTGCTGTGTAAATAAGCCTTAAACCTCTAGTGATTACTGAATAGGGAAAGTGGCTTAACAGGAGAAATGAACACAAGGGCTATCTGTTTGCATTTCAGAGAGCCTGAAAAAATATCCAGTAAGTGACAGGCTTCCCACTGATTTCACTGTGATAACTCAACTTGTCTAGCTATGGTCATTTATCCTCTACTCCATTAGTAGCTACCCTATCACTGAAGACTAAGGAAGCAAGGGGATCATAGATTTGTACTATCTGACTTTGGTAGTGTCTCACTAACCTCTAGCCTGGATTGGATAGATAGACATTACTCTAGAGCTTGTTAGGAAAGTCAGTCATCAGCCAGAAGGGATATATGTAGAGTAATTCTTCCCTGGGTCAGGATGATGGAGGAGATTGCTCTAAAGGTCCATTCCCCTTTCCTCTTTTGAAACATTGCTTTGTAAACAGGAAACATTTTTTTTGCAAACTGGCATACAGAAGCAAAATCCATGGGTTGAAGAGAGGATGTAGAGGGAATAAGGAACATGCCTCTGGGATGGGCACTCGTGTGAGAAAATTATTCAGAGTCCAGGAGCTCTGCCAGCACATCCAACCAACCAGCCTGTACCCACCAAACAAGCAGAGGGAGTTCCCTTTCAGTGTTTTCTCCCCTGCCTGGAGATTGGGGTGGTCACAACACACCTCCAGCTTGCTTGTTCGGTTTTTCACTTTCCTTCTGTAACTGCAAGGAATAGAATTAATGCATTTTTTGAAACACTCTCCAACACTGACAGTCTTGTGGCCTCATAATAACTGAGCTTATCATAACTGAGAACTGCTGGAGCGGGGAAGAGAAAGAGGAGTCTTGGCCCAGCAGCGTGCACAAGTTTATTATCATACTGTGAAGGATTTGAGGTGGTTGAGTAACCGTCTCTGGAGGTGTTTAAGAGGCAGGTGGATGTTGCATTGGGGAACATGGCTTAGTGGGTTGATAGGGCTGGGACAAAGGCTGGACTCGATGATCTTCAAGGTCTCTTCCAGCTGAAACTATTCTGTGATTCTATGATAGCTGTAGGCAGTGTCAGGATTCTTTTGGATACTTCCACCCTTTGCTTTCCTGCTTTTTCATCCCACTAACCTCTGTGCAAAAGCCACAGCTCTGGTACACCTTAATCAGGAGGGGTTGGGAGTCTCATTTGATAGCAGATATTTCTAATCTTTTCTCCATTTTGATGTGTGTCTAAATCGCAATATTTTGAACCTTGCTCAAAGTTTGTGGGGTTTTTTTTAATACGTGTTTATGGTGTTACGCTGTCTGTCTGACCGAATTTTTTTTAAATATCATTTTGACAACTTTAACCAAATTCAAGTGTGTCAGAGATATTAAGCCCAAGTGAATGTTGTGAAGATTGGCAGCTGTGGAGATGAGAGGGAGTCTGATAATGCTTCCACTGTGAGGAGGCTTACCCCTTCACATGGGAAAATAACCCTGAGAGAAGGATCAGGGAACACCAGTCTTTTGGCTCTGCTATTTATGGAACTACTTATTTATTCTAAGAAATCCTTTGGGGGTACTTTTGTAAACTGAGCATCTGTACAGAAGTGTCTAGATGGTCTGTGACAAGTGATGTATGGCTTTGTTTGGTTGTACATGATCACGGCATGTACTCATTCCCCTAATAAAATTGATGGCTTTTTATTTCTCTCCCCAAGATTTCTTTCGACCTAGCAGAATATACTGCTGACGTTGATGGAGTTGGCACTTTACGGCTCCTAGATGCTATTAAGACCTGTGGCCTTATCAACTCTGTGAAGTTCTACCAAGCCTCCACCAGTGAACTTTTTGGAAAAGTGCAAGAAATCCCACAAAAGGAGACCACCCCTTTTTACCCAAGATCGCCTTACGGTGAGGATCGCTAGTGGGGGGTGTGTGTGTGTAGTGTCTGTCTGTCTGTTCTCCCTGCTCATGTCTCAGAGCTGAAGTCATTTGGGTGTGAGATTAGAATGATGATAGACCTAAAGTGACTAGACATGTCGAGAGGCATGCCTTTATGAATTACTATATAAAAAGTATTTGCTGCCATTGCCTGGGGGTTGGAAATTAGCATCTCACTTCACAAGACTCTGTTCATTCAGCTCAGAGGTAGAGAACTCTTGTAGAGAGGGGGGGAAGGGTGGCTCTTCCTTCACAAAGGGTTGTGAGATACCGCTGAAGTGATAAGGTTTCATATTTTTCCATTGCCTAAATGAAAAACTCCCAGGAGCTCGCTTCTTCCTTCATGAACTCGCATGAAATTTGAAACACTTATTAAAGCAATGCGCATGTGGGACTTTGGTGATAAAGTTTCAAATCAATTTGAGTGTTAAGGCACCAGATTTTCGCTTTTATTCCTCCAAAGTCTTTTTTTTTTTTTTTTTTTTTTTTTTTTATTAGCAGAGGTCACCGCAGTGGCGTATTTCACACGCTCTGGCTGTGTTAATTATATTGTAAAAGAAAAAATGCTGTGCTTGACTGTGCATAAGAAAACAAGTGAGAAAGTGCCCTAATGCTTCCTGGCCAGTCCAGAGGCTGCACAGAGAAGGAGTATTTTCCTGTTCAGCTGCTGTTTACTTGGCTGCATATTTTTACCACATGAAATGGAAAGGATCTTTTTCTGGGGACAATATTTTCATGGGAAGAATCTTTTTAGTAGGGCCTGTTGCGATAGGACAAGGGGAAATGGTTTTAAACTAAAAGAAGGTTGATTTAGGCTAGATATGTGGAAGAAATGAGGGTGGTGAAACACTGGCACAGGTTGCCCAGAGAAGTGGCCCCATCCCTGGAGACATCCAAGTTCAGATTGGACCAACTGGATCTAGCTGAAGATGTCCCTGCTCACTGCAGGGAGGTTGGAGTAGACGGCTTTTAAAGATCTCTTCCGACGCAGCACATTCTATGATTCTATGAAATGTGACAGACGCCTATAGAGAATGAATCAAATTCTAATGTGCTCTGCTGTTGAAATGTGGACTTCACTCTGCGTGTGAGAGAGATGTGTGTGTCTCTGTCTGAGCTGTGTACAACCTGAACAGATATATATATATACCTAACACTTTAAAATTGTCATTGTAGGGGCAGCAAAGCTGTATGCCTACTGGATTGTGGTGAACTTCAGAGAAGCCTACAATCTCTTTGCTGTGAATGGCATCCTCTTCAATCATGAAAGCCCCAGGAGAGGTTAGAAAACCCATATGAAACTGTTCCCAACTTTGCATACCTCTGACCGGAAAAATGAAACAATTGCATCCACAGGGTTCACTTAAACTTGCCAAAATTCTGTAGGGAGGGTGTCATGACCTGTAGCCTGTACGGAGCATTTCATGCTGCCCTCCTGGCAGCCTCAGAGCCTGCAGAGCAGCAGCCTTCCCTTTCAAGCATCATATAACATTTTATAGCCCTCTGGTACTGAAGGGAAGCTTGTGTACTGGTGCTCTAGAGACTGCAATGATGTTCTAACAGCCCTGAGTTTTCTTCGTGATAGTAAGCTAAGATGTTAAAATGATACATTGAAAGGCAGGTTTTCTAACACTTAGGTGGGCATAGCAGCCGCGATTTCAGGTGTAACTTATACTAAAGATTTTTATTTGCATACGAGTGTCACATCAAGAGGCGGAAATAATGGACCATCTAAATTCATAAGACCAGTGAGTACAGCGTGGTATTTTTTGAAAAAATTGTGGATTATATCCTGTACCTTCTGACAAGATGGCTTTTAAGACATGGATTTAAAATGGCTTTCTGTTTAATCCTTAATGGCAATGCAGCTTAAATTCCCCTTAATCATCCCTTTTTGCCTTGCAGTACTTTGTGAACAATTAATACTGGTATTTACTTTAAGTAAGAGTCCACAGTTTATTAAAAGTCTCTTATACAACAATAGTTTTCCTCTAACCTTAAAGTACCATGACTATAGAGAACACTCTAAAATTAAACTTCAAATTAACACAGAAAACTGGATTCTTGGTGCAGAAGCCTTTTATTGTGGGCTGATTTTAAATGAAAAATAAATTCAAGTTTTACAGGAATGAAATTATATAAATTATAGCCTGGCACAAAATATAAAAAATTTAATCATCCTTATAAATATAAAATAGACCATAATTGCAAATCTGCTTAAAAAAGGAGAGTAAAAGGAGTCGATCCCAATAGGATTTAAATATTGGGAGTCATAGCTATGAAACCTGATAGGCAGCATCTGCAGTAAGTAGTGCATGAAATATTTGGTGGTAGAAGCTGGTGCATCACTTCACTGTAGCAGATGACAGTACAAGTACAAAATTAAGAGAGAATCAAATTCACTAGACTGTTTCATTTAGAAGCCCTAATACTTTGCTTTCTTTTGAACAGTTTGCTGCAATATATGCTTGGTGCACTGTAAACTGATGTTGAAATTGCTCTGAATTGTCATTATGCAATTAAAACCTTCTGACCAACATAAGGAATGAGGGAATATGTAGCAGCAAATATTATCTTGGCGTGATTTCTAGTAACACTAAGAAGCTACAAGATGAGATGGAGGTTGTAGGAAGACGTTTACCATTTGTGCACCTTCTCTGTCGGCTTGTGCCATTTTGAAGGAGGAAAACTTCAGTGCTCATTGCTGTTTTGATCCCTCTGACATTTGGTTCAGCTTTCACACTGCTGCAATGGAGCTTCCAATCCAGAGTCTCTTTTTAACACATTTAATGCCCCCAGGGAGAACCCCAGCCTGTGCTTTGAAGCCTCAGGCTGTGCTTTTGGTTGTGTGTATGTGCTGGGTGTAGTTTTAAGCCCCTTGTGGCACAAAGAGGAATCTTGTCTCAGAAATGGTTTCGGTTAGCTCTGTTCACCTTAGCGGGAGCACATGCTGTGAAAGCAACTGTAACCACAGCCTAGTGCCTTTTGCTTGGTGTTTTTATGGGAGAAAGTCTGAAAATTTATACAGGGAAGAAAATGGAACAAAAGTTGAGGTTGTTTCTTAATAGCCATTTGTCACTTTCCTAATGTTTTTGAAGACTGCGAAGGCATTTCGGCAGGAATTATTTAACCGAGATTTCTAATGTCTGTGCAAAGATGGTAATATACACGGAAGTTTTAAAGCATCTTTTGGTTTGGCCTTTTTTTTTTTATTTATTATTATTATACTGATTTACCTAAGTAAACCAATATATGTTTTATTTAAATACTACAAACCGTTATTCCAGTTGTTTGAGTGTTACACTGAACTGACCAGATACCACACCATGTTGCTGGTAACACTAAGTGCATCTTGCCCATGCAAAACACAATGCCCAGGAAGCAGTGGAGAGCAGAAGGCTGTGGCAGTGCCACTTGCTGAGGTGCAGAGTTGATATGTCCCAGCCAACAGTGCGTATTTTTTGGCCTGTATCTGAAGTGTTCATCATACTTCTGAAAATTTGTGTAAGCTTCCTACAATGAATGTGTGTTTATAGAGAAATAGTGTGAAGAGGCAAATTCCTGTAGGTAGGGATCTGTGAGGTATGTTACCCTGTAAGGCAACCGTAAGGCTTATCTAGTCTCAAGAGCTCCTTCCCTGAGAAAGGAGTTTAAGAATATATACCTGTTATTTCAGAATGCCAATTCCCCTTAGTCTTCCTGATTCTCACTGTGTAAGGAGCAACAGTAGTTAATCTCATGTAGCCTGTATAGTAATAGCGAATTCTACACAGAGTTCATAAGGGTAAAGGGTCCTTAAGTCTAGCATGAAGATTTCTGTTTCTCAAAATTACCGAGATTTGAAAGAAGTGCTGTTTTTGAGAATTTCGTTTTATCTTACTCTATAAGACAAAAACCATAACGGGAGTAATTCTTAAGATGTGACACCATACTGCAAATCTGAACACTTAAGTTCAGTGTGTGGGTTTGCTTTCAGGTCTGATGTTTCATGTTCTGACAGCCACAATGACCACTAGTCAATGACCAGGTTGATTGAACCCACTGTCTGGGCCTTATATCTTCATTTGGGGATTAGCACAGCATTATTGAATTGCACAAATACTTGAGTCCATGCTCAAGAGACACTTCTGTATGTAGCAACAGAGAATATAGTTTAAAATCATGGAGTAAAATGAGTGGCTATGTTAGACTAATCTTCATAAAACATACATCTACTTTGAACCTTTCTGTAGTACTTTCCCTTTTAAGCTTTTCTTGATATTATACGTAGTACTTTTCATTTCTTAGTCACTTTTTGACCAATACATGCTTTTCAGCTCTCATAAATCAACACAGCTGCACCAAAGTGGATAGGGTCATGTTGATTTATGCTGGCTGGAGGTCTGGGGTAGTACTTCCAGTAATGGTCTGGTAATGGTTAGCTCAGTTGGTTGAGCGTGGTGCTGATAACACCAAGGTCGCGGGTTCGATCCCCGTTTGGTCCCCATGTGTTGCCTGATCTAGTTAAGAAGTGTCCCTGCCCGTGACAGGGAGGTTGGATTAAAGTGATCTCTAAGGTCTCTTCCAGCCTAGGCCATTCTATGATTCTATGATAAGCATAATTTTCTTGCTTTGGGGAGAAGACCTGTATTAGCAGCATACCTTGCTAAAGCTGATTTCTTCAGTTACTTAACTCAGTTTTGTCCAGATATAGCTCAAGTATCTCCTGGTTGATGGCAATGCCAAAGGAGAATGGGTTCTGCCATTTCTGAAGCTTATTTACTGTCTAAATATGACAGTAGCTGAAAAGCAAAAAGTGCTCTCTACAGTGGTAGTAAGCTACAAGGTGGCAAGACGATATTATGGGATACCAGATGGGGGAGATGGTGGCCACCAAGTTGCTGGTGGTGGTTGAACATGGTGCCTGGTATTACTGGTATGAAAATGTCTGCCCTATAGCAGCATCAGAAAGATATTTCTGTTTGGTGAGGTGATGGTTTTGATAGTGGAAGAGTGAAGCAATTAGCAAGTCTAGTTTTCAGGAAAGCTGGGGCTCGATCCAAGCCATTTTTTTTTTTTTTTACACCATTGGAAAGATTCCTGTTCTTTTGTTGAGCTTTGAATCTCACTAATACCTTCTTTTCTGAGTGAGAAAGCAACTCATTGACAGCGTCAGTTGTTTCTTCCCAGACAAGCCCTTACTTTTTTTTCTCCTCAGCTCTGTGTAAGAAGTTTTCTCAGGTTTACAAGATGTGCCTTTGGATGTCTGAGATAACTTTCTGATTTGGTTAACCACTTCATTGCTTGCCTCATCTGATCTTTATCTGGCAAGATGTACAAACATGTACAGCATGTTTCCTCACACAATGCAACAGAAGTTTTGTTTGTTTTTTCTTGATTTTTTTTTTTCCCTAAGTAATAAATACTTGGCCTCCACACATGACATCATTGTGTAGATCATTCAGTAGGGAAGTTTTATTTGTCGGATACCAACCCTGGTAAAGCAGTTGTCATCAGACCATTGCTGTATAGCCAGAGGGAAAGGATGCAACTGCTCATTTCTGTGATCTCTTTCAGCCAGAAAGGAAATGGCTAGGTGTTAGATTGCAGGCTGAATGTTGTCAAAGTGCATGTACTAAGACTAAAATGAAAAGAAATTGTGATTCAAAGAGAATGGGGAGTGTTCTTTTATTATGCATCTTAGATCGTAGGTTTGTGAAGGGGAAGGGGAGAAGAGGTTCCCCTACTCACTGTAAATATGTTTGGGTATCTTTTGGATTTATGGATTTTTTTGTTACCTTTTTTTTTTTTAACAAGTTTCCAGTCTCCCTTTTGCCTCTATTTCGTAGAGAAGGCAGAAGCAGATGGTGACATCTGCTACCGACTTTCACAAGAATCCCCTAAATCCTTATTATAACAGCTGCTCTTCTGTGTCTCCTGTAAAAAGATGTAGCCAACATCTGCCAGATTTCCCCTTCTTATTTCTTGGAGAAGACTAATTGCCAGTCTCTCTACACACTTCCTGTGCGAGAGGAGCTTGGTCAGTCTAGAACCGTTGGAAATACTAAGGCTTTTGCTGGTGCTCTTTTTGTAAATTTAAGCTTGTGAAAGATTTAAGCGTGTAAAATTTTCAGTGCAGAGCTTTGTCTCTTTCATACGAAATTTCCCAACCCACGAGTATATCTGAATAGCAGAAGTCAGCAGAATGCTGCTCGTGTCTTGCCGGGTGAGAAGAATGCAGGCTGACTAGTATCATCAGGGATCGTCTGCCTGGCATATTGAAAACTTGATGGCAAGGTCCC